AAGATGTCAAAAAAGAAATTGTAATGACCAGGAAAAAAATATTTAAAAAAATATATATTGTCAGGGGCTGTCGAGTGGGGTCCACCTCATAGTAACCCGATGTACAACGGAAGGAAACACTGCCTGGCCCTGCACCGTCCTCACAATCACTGCTGCCGTTGAATCCATTGCTGTGCCCACTGTTTTGAGTCATCTCATTGAGAGTCTTCTTCTCCTTTGCTCCCCCTCTGCTTGACCAAGCAGGACACCTTCCCCAGCGAAGGGTCCCTCCTGAAAACAGGTCCAAAGCACGGGAGGTGAAGTCATCCTTGATTCCAAGCAGTATTTTGGCTGATTCTTCTCAAACAGATTTTTCGTTCTTCCGGCAATGCACGGTCTAGTCAATGGTCTTTGCCAACCCCATATTTCAAAGGCATCCACTCTTTTGTGATCTTACTAATTCATTGTCCAGTTTTCATGTCACTGTTGTTGTTAGGAGCCGTTCAGTTAGTCCCAACTCACTGTGGCCCAGAGTGAAACACGGCCTGGTCCTGCGACATCCTCACAATTGTTGGAGCCCACTGATGCAGCCACTGTGTCAACCGTCTTGTCAGAAGTCGTCCTCTTTTTCAATCCCCGCTGCTTTACCAAACACGATGTTCTTTTCCAGGGCTGGTTTCTCCCGACAACATGTCCAAGGTTTCATCATCCTCTCTTATCACAATTCATCCATCCATCCATTGTGTCAAGCACATTTGTACAATTGTTGCCATCATCCTTCTCAAAACATTTGCTCGCCACTTAAGCCCCTGGCATCGGCTCCTCATTCCCTCCCCTTCCCGCTCCCCCCTCCCTCATGATTCCTTGATAATTTATAAATTATTATTTTGTCATATCTTGCAGTGTCCGACGTCTCCCTTCACCCACTTTTCTGTTGTCCGTCCCTCAGGGAGGAGGTTATATGTAGATCCTTGTAATCGGTTCCCCCTTTCTCCCTGACCTTCTCTCACCCTCCCGGTATCGCCACTCTCACCACTGGTCCTGAAGGGATCATCGGGGGACGTCTTTACTTGTTAACACCTTAAAGAAGTATTTGGCAGCAGATTTCCCCCATGAAGTATGTTATTAGATTTCTTGATGGCTGCTTCCATAGGTGTTGACTGTAGATCCAAGTGAAATAAAATCTTCGACAGCCTCGATCTTTAAATCTGTTTACTAAGCTGTTGCTATTGGACTTTTGTTTTCTTTACATTGCAATATAAGCCATATGGAAGGCCATCATCCTTGATATTCATCATTAAGTGTTCCAAGTCTTTCACTTTCGGCCAGAAGACTTGTGTCGTGGGCAGGGTGCAGGTTGTTAGCGAGTCTCCCGCCCATCCTTCCTATAGAATACAGCTTCTTGGATCGTTTCTCAGCCTACAGATTGAACAAGCCTGGCAAAAGATGCAGCCCCAACCCTCACTCCCACTGATTTTTAAGCCAGGCTGCGTCCTCACGTTCTGTCGGAGTGACTCCTGGACTATATGCAGGAGCACATTCTGCCATTCCCGTTCTTCTCAATCTTGTCCACACTCTGTTATCATCCCCATAATTGAATGCTTTTGCATGGTCGATAAGACACAGGTAAACAGATTTCTGGTATTCTCTGCTTTTAGTTAAGATGTATCTGACACCAGCAGTAATATCCCTCACCCCACATCTCTTGTGAACCCAGCTTGAATTTCTAGCCCTTCTCTGTTGATGTACCTTTGCAACAAATGGCTATATTTTATTTTTAGGTAGCGTTAGACTGTATTACCCACCCCACCTCTTGTTTATTAGAAAGAAATAGCATTCTCCCAAAGGATCTGCTGAAATAAGGAACTCCAATTATGAGGAAGGGGGAGTGAGGCACAGGAGAGTGTTGTCCACAAAGTGACGTTGAAGTGGCCGGGTAAGCAGCGCGGGTAGCCTTTGTGACCGGTGTAAACGGTGGTTCTGGCTGGCACATTCTCACGTACTAGAGCTGGTGTCGGCTTCGTTTAGTGGCCCACCAGTTCCCTCTCTTCCACTGCAGCGCTTGAATTCTCCGTGTCCTGCCTGCTTGGCATCTATGGGTCTTTGTTTCTGATAACTGGGGTTCCTGTTTTGCTAATGCTCCAAGCACATGCTTGTCTTGCTTATTGGGTAAGCCAACCCTGGTCTATCCTAGGGTTTCGTTGGGGCCAAGTTCAGCTGAAGGCCAAGATACACAAGACACGAAGCAATCTCCTTTCATTTGGCTCAAGGATCAGGTGGGCACCTGAGTGGGTGGGGGGCATGGGGTGAAGATGGAAGCAGGGACAAGAGAGCAAGAATCACAGAAGATGCTTTTTCAACCTGTCAACTCCCAGCCCGGACTTGGACTTGGTGACAATAAGACAACCCATCTTTGCATCTTCAGTCCATCTTAGGTGGCCTCCGCACTTCCGTCAGGGACACGGGCGTCCCCAGACATCCCTCAGAGCCATGCTTAGGCGCCCCGACCTCTGTACACCCAGGCCCCAGGTTCCTTGGGTCCCTGCCGGCCTTCACAGATTGTTCGAGTTATTAATGCTCTTTCCCAGAGATTCCATCTGGCTTTTAAACTGCTCTGGGTTGGGTGGGGCTAGGAGGCTTTGATAGTGGATTCCGTATCTTCCCTAGTCTGTTCACGTGGGGCGGGGGTGGGCGGTGGAATGGCTGGTGGGGGTGGCACAGAGAGATGAGGAAAGGGACTGGCTTGGCACCAAAGGTGCTAGTGGTTTCACTTTATTGAAAGGAAAGGAAAGAAAAGTTGGTGCCCCCACCCCAGCCAGTTCCCCTGCCCCCACCCTGCCACATCTGCTGGCACCGGAAAGCGAGTGAGACCTTCCCGCCCCGCTTCTGTGGAAGGTTTGGGTGTTCTCTTCCAGGAAGGACCCCTTGATGGAGCAAGGTCAAGGTTTCTATTCCCCTCTTGACCTTGGCTGCCACCCATGAAGGAGGTCTGGCAGGTTCCAGCCTGGGAAGGAGAGGGTGGGAGACCTGGGTGGGGTGGACACTCCTCCCCATCTCAGGGTGGCTCATCACAGGTGTCAGGGCCAAACCCCAAGCTCATAGATTCCCAGGAGATCTGGGAGATAAGGATGACATCTGTGACAGGTGGAGAGCATAAGGAGGCGGCAGGCTACACCGAGCTGCCTCACTCACTCCCCTAAGTAGTGATACTGGAGTGCCTTGACTTGGGATGACCCAGGAGAGAAGTGAGGATGCTTCTCTCAGGGGCTACCTTTGTGCAAGGCCAAAGCCACTGAGCATCTTGGCAGGGGTAAATTGGGGTGGGTGGGGCCAGTCTCCCTGGGTCTAGTCAATGCTGCAGCCTCCAGGAAGCCTTCCCTGGTGGCACCTGCTCATACACTGAGCTTTCCCTTATCACGCAGGACACACTCTCGCGGCATCTTCGGCCCACAGGGGGAAGGCCCTCAGCAAGCAGGCCTGAGCCTTAGTGCTGCTAGAGGGGTGAGCCATCATTGACACAGGCCTGGACACACTCTGGGCATGCAGTGAATACTTGGGGTGCTCTTGGGATGGTTTCCTCTAAGACTGAAGTCAGGAGACTGGTGGTTTCAAGGGAGAGCAGGCTTTTCCTGGACACCCCTCGTGCGCATCAGGACATGTGCCCTGGCACGTTTGACCCACAGCTACCCACAGTGTTCCCCCCCACCCCACAGGCAAGTCTGTCCAAACCCCCCCCCACACACACACACACACACACACACACACACACACACACACACACACACACACACACACCCTCTCCTGGGGCTGGATGAAGTTGCATCACCTGGACCTCCAGATCTGCAGACAAGGAGCCCCCTGAGAAGGTAGGTGGAGAAGGGAGGCAGCCCCTCCTCCACCCATCCTGGGACTTGTTCTAGGGGGAAGCTGGAGGATCAGCCCCCTCAAACAAGAAAAACTGGAATTGGTGCTGAACTCAGAGAGGGTTTGCTGGGCGCCTAGCAAGCTGTGGCCTGCCCCTGGCCGCCTTGGTTCCCAGGGCGGGAGGGCAGGCTGCCGCCTCCTCACTGAGCCCGTCCTCTGCCAAGGGCAGCCTTGGGTGAGGAGGTGGGGAGGAGGCTAGTGAGGGGAGGAGGAGTGGGGATCAGGTGGCAAGTTGCCCCTGTTAATCACACAAGGCAGGTAAGTGGAACTGATGGAGAATCTGTAATTTCTTGATAATTTCTTGAAAAGGTTTCCATGCACTGACATGGCCAACAAGCCCTGTGATGAAAACAAAAAGGGAGGGTTTTTTCCCTCTGAGAGAGCATGGGGTGGCTGTGGTGATAGGGGTGGGAGTGGGGGTAGGGCTCTACATGTCTCCAACAGAGGTGAGGTATCATCAGGTGTGTCTACTGCTTGGTTCCAGTTGGGAACAGGGGTCAAGGTTCTTGGGGGTGGCCATTTTGGAGGGGCCCCATTCCTAGGGTGGGCGGGGTGAAGCAGGTGTGGGGGTAGGGTGGAGAGGTGATTTTGGAGGCACATGGCCCAGGGAAAGTGGAGAGGGTCCCACCTTTCCTTCCCTCCCGGCCTTGCATCCTGTTGGAGGGAGAGGCAGTGCTGTTCAGCGGAACTGGAAGTGACTTGGAAGCAAGTGTGGCCAAGCAGCCCTGGAGCTGCTTGGGCCAGGCCTGCTGAGTCTCTCAGTAGCCATGGAAGCCTCGGGCAGCCCCTCTGTTCCTAGGGGCAGATGAGAAGTCACGCCAAGGGTCCACCAGCCCGGTCCCAGACACCCCAAAGACTAACTCTCTGGGATTCTGGGCATTCTCCCTCTGGAGCCTTGCCTTCCTCCTGCCATCCACCTGCCTTTTGGGAAAATCCATCTCTAAGGTGGAAAGGGACTCCAGATGGGGAGGAGAGCTGACAGAAGCCAGGCCCTCTACCAGAACAGATGCTGCATGGACACTCAAATGTGACCAGGCTCACCACAAGCCGTGAGAGTAGCTTCTCTCTCTCTCTTTTCTTTTTAAAGACACCAGCAATCACTTTGATATGTTTATATTATAGATATAATACATAAAACCCTTAGCACGAAACTCTGTCATCTCCCAACAAGAAAAGACAAACTGTTTTGCCCACTTGAGCTCCTGGCTGCCTGGTGGCTGGAAGCCTTCCTTTCCAGATGAGGGCCTCCGGGGGCCATGCCTGTGGGCACCCTGGGCCGGAGGAGACCGAGGCCCACCATGGCCCTCAAGGAAAGCTAAAGGGGATGCAGCAGGGGAAGCCCCCCCACTTCCTTGGTCCCTGGGGAGTGAAAGCAATCCCAAACCAAGAGGAAATAGGGCACCGGCCTCTCACCCGCAGTACTGATGACGAGTCTCATTTTGGCAAGTATCTGAGCAAAACCCAAAAACAAAACAAAAAAACAACAAAAATGGTGGCTCGGTGGAGGCATACACATTCACACAGCACAAGGCACTGCTGGGACTTGGCGAAGCCAGATACAAGTGTTGATCTCAGCTGATAAAGCAAAAATATCTGGAAAGCTTCTCATAGCTCCGGTCCCTCAGGGATGAAGTGATTGGGCTTCGTGTTTCGTTGCAAGCTGGTGGCATACAGTACAGACGAGGCTATCTCCCCCAGCCATGGGCAAGGTCTCTGCTTCCCATCTTCCACCAGGCCACCATTTCCAAGGCATGCTTCCTTATGGATAACCTGCCACTGGCTTTCTGATCTGACTTGGGGGTGGGGGCCTGCTTCTAGTGGCCACTTAGTGACCCCCAGTGAGTCTGACAAGGGAGGCCCCGCCTGTCACAGGCTTGGCTACACAGACAGGAATTGGATGGATTCCTCTTCCTGGATGCACAGGGGAGGGCCCTGGGGTTCAAAGCCCAAGGCCTGGAGTCTCTTCCCCTGAAAGGAGGGGGGCTGAGGAACGGGCCTGGTGGGCTCAGCTACCTAAACTACCTCCTGGGTAGGTCTCCAACCCTCCCTCCTTCGCTCCAGGGAGCCTACTGCAATGTGGGAGAAGGAGGCAGGAACCTTCTGAATAAAATGGCAAGGCACAAATTTGCTCCCCCTACTCGGTAGGAAGTGGAGCAGGAGTTTGCATTTCCAAGGCACAAGGTTGCTCCTTAATACTAGAGCCGCTGGGCTCCCAGGTCGGGCCCGTGCCGCCTGCTCCCCTGGCCCAGAGACCCGCTGCCTGACCTTTATCTCAGAGGCACCAAGTCCAGCTCCGAGGAAGGGAGGTGGTGCGCGGAGGGGGTGGGGGGTAGGGACCCGCCAGGCTTTCAAAAAGAGGCGACCCGAAACCACTTCCCGGGGCCCCTCCAGAGGCCGGCCCAGGGCAGTCCCGCTGCGGAGCCTCATGCGCAGTTGCCCATGGCCTTGACCAAGGAGCTTTCGGGTAGCTGGCGGAAGATGCCTCGCAGTGTGTCCAGTTCGCGGCTCAGCTGTTCCACCCGCTTGCGCAGGCGGTCATTGTCACTGGTCAGCTCCAGCACCTTCTGCTGCGTCTCCACGTTGCGCTGCTTGGCTTTGTCGCGGCTCTTGCGCACCGCGATGTTGTTGCGCTCGCGCCGCACCCGATATTCGTTGCTGTTCTTGTCCACCGACTTCTTGGCCTTGCCCGCGCCGACGCTTCCCCCGCGGAGGTCTGGGTGTGCGGTCGCCAGCCCTTTGAGCGCGCTGCCCGGGCCCGCCAGGCCGGCGGCCCCGAGCGCGGGC